AATTGTTAGAGAATGACTAGCAGGATTGTCGATGGAGATGGAGTCATCCTCTGCCTCCTCAAATTAAATATTTCTAAAACTTTCTACAAAATTCTCTAATTCTTTCGAGTAGATTTTTGAAATTTCCATAGTAGTTTCTGACAGAAACTCAGTTTTTCAGTGCTAATTACGATTTCTATGGCAGAAAATGGAAAAAATAAACTTTTCATTAACAAAACCTCGCAAAGTCAATGAATTTAGCTTTTGTTGTTCAATATCTGGCGGGAAGCCAAACGAGGTACTTTCTGTTAAAATTTTTAAACTTTCTGCGAAATTTTTAGCGTCTTTCTCTCTCTCTCTCCATGCTCACTTCTCAAAATAACTCAAGCAGATAAACTTTTGGGAAAACATGTTTAAACGCACAAAAATTGGCTTAAAATCGGCAAAAAGTCGACGTTTTTGGTTCACACTCGCGCTTTCCGACTGTGAGCCAAAACCATCCATTTTTTGACCTTTTTGTGCGTTTAAATGCGTTTTCCCAAGAGTTTGTCTGCTTGGGGACCGACAACTCTATTCATCCAGAATCTCTTCTAACTTGTCTCTAATATTGAAAAATGAAATATTTTGAGCATCGTATAGATGCATTGTCTGCTATACTCCTTTTTAGAATGAAGTTGTTCTTTCAAAAACTAGTTGAAATTTTCGATATTTTTTCTTTTGACCTTTTTATATCACACGAAATTTTAGTCTCAAATGGACCTACTTGGAACTATAATATGAAGTCATATGACATTCAACAATTGGATATGTTCTCTTCTCTCGAAAGAATTTCATTTCTTTTCTGCCTTGAGCAACAACGAATAAAGCAAGAATAGTTAACACTAGACAAAGCATTTTGTAAAGTAAAAAATCAATGACGAGTGTTTTTTAATAAAAATCTAAAATAGAATGCATATAGATATTTCATTTCTATTGACAAAGTGTCTCAAAGTACCATGATCAAAAACTAATTCAAGCAAAATAAAGACAAGGTCATTAATTATTTACATTTTTTAATGAAAAGTATGTCCTTCTCCAAAAAAAAAAGAAAATAAGATATAGATGAATAACAAAATTGTATATACATTTACCTGTACAAGGTTAAAGAAACTTTCTCTGAATTACTTTTTACTATTATATATATTCAATAAATAAAAAAGGATAAAATAAACATTATTATTATTATTGTTGTTCTTTTTCACGCATGTCGACACGGTCTTCGCAAAATTATGAAATTTCTAATTAAATAAGACAACTATTATATCACCATCGGAAACAATTATATTCTATCCAATCTTAATATTCGTTTTTTGACTAGTATGTATTTCTTCTGGATCATCTTCAGCAATACATTTTTCACAACGATTTGCGCATTTAAAAACATTAATTTTTTGTTTATTAGTACGAACTTATTTTGATGGTACATTAATTATTAATTTTGTTCTATTAATTCAATGACTTTCATTATTACTATTTCATATGTTATACGTTTTTTCAATTATTTCTCGAGAATGATTTATTAAAACGAATTTCAAAAGCATGATAGTTTTTTTTTAATGTTATTCAAAGTACAATAGTTTTATAATTTGTAAATCATCAGACAAACGGTGATCGAACATTCATTAATACGTCAAGTATTTCAATCATTATTTGTATTCTATCAGCTATTGAATAACTACATTAATATTTAGCTGAACTAAGTGATGATATTAAATAAAATTGATAATATTATTATAAAATTTTTGTATTGTATATGAAAAGAATCATCGAGAACTTCTTTTTATGAAATGAAAGATTTTCAAAATATTCTTATATAACTTTTCTATTGATTTATATGTATATTGAATAAGAACTAATTATACAACAAGAATGAATGAAGAACATATGTATAGAAAGCAAAAATCGAAATCTAAAAAAAGAAGTGAAAATTTCAATGATGAATTTGATTAAACTAAAAGAAAAAAAGGTTCTTAGCGCGATCTACAAGAAGAAGACGAGCAACTTTTAAATAATGGCATAATAAACAAACAAAGTGCTTTTCTTTATTTTACAAAGTATCCTCAACATACTCTGTTTTTTTTCTTACTGCAAAATATAAAACATGATACTTTTCTAAAATCGTAAGTACCTTGGGTACTTTGTTTTTCCTGGAAGTACTTAATATTCAAAAATACTGACAATTAATGACTGATGTGGCAAATGACAATGAGATAAAATACATACATTTATTTCATTGGAGAATTTTTATTGGAACGATAGATGGCGAAAGAAATATTTGCTTTTCTTTTTAAAAAATTTTTAATTTAAATCTTTTTTTTTATATTTCTAATGATTTAAAAAATAAAATTTATAACTTTTTTTTTTTTGAAATGATTAATTTATATTAACCAATTGATAAAGTCCACTGAAAAAAAAAATCATGTCTTTTCTATTTTCAATAAATGAATATTATTGTTCAATGTTCAGTTTTAATTCTTTTATTTGATTTTTAACATTAACTAATCAAGATATTGTTACATGTAATTCTACATTTAAATTAGTACATTAACAATCCGATGATAGACTTCATTCTTATGATAGTGAACAACAATTTTTTTTGTTTTTTTTTTATTTAGTCTGTTACTAATACACCTAATGCAGATGATGTGAATAGTTATTGGCAAGTTGTGATCGAGGGTAATTGAATTAAAAAAAAGTAATTTTTATTCTTTCTTTTTTTTTTGTTTATTGAATTTAATAGAACATCAAGAAGTATCAGCCTATGGTGAAGATAGATTTTGATGATCGATGGAAAGTTATTTGTACTAGTAGAAACGATGGTATCAGATTATAACATGTTACTACGAGAAGGTAAAATTTTTAAATTGAAAAACAAAAAAAGTTCTATGAATACGAATAGAAGTTATTTTGATTGATCATAAAAATTAAGATGTTAAACTCAATGATTATATTTTAAGTCAAAAACAATATTGAGTTTTACTTGTATTATTATAGAAAGTTTTATATAGTATCGAATAAATATAATATTCTCTTTGTAGATTCAATTCTAATAGTTTATATCCCATAAATCTGCCGTAAAAAACCATATCGATATCTTTTAAATAGTTCAAACTATTTACACATATATTTTTCAATATTATAGTTTTATTTAATATAATTTGATTTATACATGTTTCATTAACATTTCTTCTCACTTAATATTTATCGATCAGGAACATAGCTGAAAATTTCTCAAGGAAGGGAAGGTGCCAGACTTATTATTGAGGAGTGCATGTCAGCAGGAAAATAATTTTTTAGTTCGCGAAAAAGATTTTTCATTCGTATCCTTCTCCAGGTATTTTTTTGGCCAAGGAATGTATACCCCTGAATATAGTCTGCGTCTAGTATTTTTGTATATTTTGTTTCATAACAATAGATGATTCGAATTTGATAATTAATAAAACTTCAAGGAACATACTATCATAATATTAAAACGATAATTAAATTATGTGAGACTTTCTCATCTCTCAAAAAAAAATGCATGAGAAGATTGTTTAAGATTTGATTTTTTAATGTCACCTACTTGAAAAATATGCTGGTTTTTTGTTTTTGAAATTCGTAAAAAAATTTTAAGATCAATAGTTTTAACAGTAATGTTCTTTCTAACGGTTGTCTGGCATTTTTTTTTTCTATTATTTATCATCAATCTTGTTTATATTTTGATATTCTTAGTTTTTGCCTGTTTTCAATACATACAAGAATATTTTACAATATCATCTTTTGTAACATACGGTTTTATATTATCTGTCTCTAAAGTTTTTGATGAGAAACTATTCCGTAGTTTTGTTTTAATTTGTTATAGTGTACTAAAACTTCGTTCATAATCATCAGATATTGAGCTGAATTTCGTACATAATATCTTAGGATATGTTGATAATCAAATCATACTTTTTGACATTTATCTTCTTGTATGTTTAATATATTTCTCTTTGAAAAGAATTAGAAAAAGAAGTTCGTTTTGTACATAATCAATCTATCTTACTGAAAGGTTTAAAAATATTGTCTATTCATAACAGAGAAAGACAGAATGCAAAATTTAGGAAGGAAAAATCATCCTACTTTTTCCTTCTAATCGTATGGCGTGGCCGATTGCTCTTTTTGTTTACAAGAGCGTGTGAAACTACAGTACTCGTTGTATTTGTCATTGCATAAAAAGAAATTAAATCTATAAAATAAAGATTCACAGAGAATTTCAGGTTGTCAAATTCGTTATTTTTAATCCTTGTTTGTTGGATATCTCACTCAAACGTCATGTTATAGAGCTGAAAATTTCATAAAATTTGAATGTATCTGATCTGAGAATGGTCTTAAAATAATTAACAGATATTCACAATGGATTTTCGAAACATTCTGTATTTTATTTAATGATTGTAAGAAAAATTTTCATTATGAAAAAATAATAATTTTTTTTTGTCACTAATTAACACAAATTCTTCTAGATTGAAATACTGATTTTCTAAAAACTTTGTTGTTTTTGTTTTAGATATCTTCATTTAACCGGTGATACTTATGATCGATCAATTTATAGTCAAAAAGAGATTTGTTGTTATCCATATAGCAATAGTCGAAATATTTGAAAAGTTGATATTCGTTCATCATCAATTTAATATACATTCTCAATCTGATTATAAACTTTAGATTAATTAAATATTTCCTTGTTTTATAGGTTAAATTTCTATGTTATTTTTTATACTTTAACATAAAGATAAAAAGAATTCTTTTGTCTTCTTGTATTGATTGTATGTATGTATCCTCAATGACATTCTTCTTTACGGTCATTGTTTGATTAAGATTTAATCTAAGGTATTATTCGTCTTTCCCTTTTTCTTTTTTTCTTCTCATGTTAAATCTATAGACATAACATAAAGTCGTTTTAGATTTGTTTGAATGTGTGTGAGTGTGTGTATATAGAAAAAAAAAAGAAGAAGACGAAGAAAAACAAAATGCCATCAATATTCGGCAAAAGTCATCTTTATCGTTATGATATTCAAGGTGGTGCTAAAAGTCATTATCTTGTTTTTGTTCATTTACCTTGTTTACAAACACATCTTAAACATTTATATCATTTATCATTATTACCATTTATTGAATATGAACAACAAACAATTGAATGTTTAATGAATTATAATAGTTTAACACGTGATTGTATTAATTATATTTTACAACGACTTCATATACATGATCGTACAATTTCAAATTGTTTTGGTTTATCATATTTTAATAAAATAAATAAACAATGTTATTGGCTTGATCCTGATATATCTATGAAACAACAAATACCTAAATCAGAATTAAAACCAAATTTAACATTTACAATATTACTCTATCCACCAGTACCATATGCAATTACAGATGAAAAAGCTCGGTAAATTCAGTTTTTTTTTTGTTATACAAATATAAAGCTTAGAAACAACGATTTTTTTCATAATGTTAAGCATGTAGCTCCAATCCAAATAGTGATTTTAATAGTCAATGGAGTTTTCTATCCAGTACAGTTTATAGCTAAGATTTCACAGATGAAAAATGATATCAAGACTCCTCGAACATGGTATTTTTCAAGTTCTAGAAGACTTTGCCAGAGCTATTTTTGAACGTTGCCATCTTAAATAGCACAACATTCTGAACAAAATGAGGGGTCACCGAGTTTTCTACGAGCTTCTTATAAAAAGTTACAAAAATCATGAAAAAGACGTTTTTAGTCGATTTTTAAAAAAATTTCGTTTTTTCCTGACTCTTGTAACTTTTCATGAGAAGTTCGTAGAAAACTCGGCCACCCCTCATTTTACTCAGAATTTTGTGTTCTTTAAAATGGTATCGTTCAAAAATAGTTCTGACAAAGTCTTCTAGAACCTGAAAAATACCGTGTTCATTTTTTTAGGATTCTTGCCATCATTGTTCATCTATGAAATCTTAGCTATAAAGTATATTGAATAGAAAACTCCATTGGCTATTAAAATCACTAAATTTGAATTGGAGCTACATGCTTAATATTATGAAAAAAATTGTTATTTCTAAACTTTTGTCCATCACTCTAAATCGAGACTAATTGGTTTAAGAAGTAGAACTTGATAATAACGCAGTGGAATTTTCATACTCATAAATCGAAAGCAATTTTTCTCGTTTTAAATCAAATAGGTTCCATCGTGCCTTATATTTTAATGGTATGTAAATTGCACGTAAGCTGTTTATTATACACGCAAAGCATTTATAAAAAATTGAATGCCTAAACAATCATAATCGACATAGAGAAAGTGTTCAAATCAAGTTTTTTTTTTACCTGTTCATGACTAACTAATGATAACTCGCTTCGATTATGTAATTGAACTTAAGATAAAAATTTAAAAAAATCTCGATTCTAAATATTACTAATCAAATTTTAATATTCAATATAGAAATTTTTGATTTTAAAATTTTCATTTAGATTAATTCTGTATCAACAAATCTTTTGCAATTTTATTTCATCAATCTATACAATACCGATAAATCTTGTTGAAACATTATCAGCTTATTTTCTTCGAGGTAAATCTTATTTTTTCTATCAAAATTAGTATCATATATATTTTTTTATTTTATTAAAATAATAAGGTTGTTTTGAAAATAAATTCAATGCTGATAAAAATCATGATATTCTTCAATTGATTATAGCTGCTGTAAGATAAAATAATAAATATTCTTTTTTTTTGTTTCTAAAAAAAGATTTTTTTTTTTATTATTATCAAGGTTGGCCTTTCAGAAGAAAAAACTGATAGAATAAAAGAGAAAATTATTGAATTATATCGTGATTTAAATGATATTGATTTACGATCAGCACAAAATCAATTTGTTCATCAAATATCACAAATAAATACATATGGAATGATACATTTTGAAATAAAGGTATTGAAAAAAGGAATATTGAAATATATAGGGTAGAATTTTGCATTCTTCCCTCTCCGCAACAAATTATGACAGATGAGATTGATAGGAACTTGCGACAGATTCAATAGCTCGAAATCTTCTCTATAATTAATACTAGCTGTAGTTTTGAACAGAAGAGCGATTCGACGCAATGTTCTTGCACTCAAATGCTTGAGCTTTTCATTAATCACAAGAGCTGATGTTTATCACAACGTAGTCAGCATACCTATCGGACGAATAATCCAAGACAAATAGTCATTAGTAACTTGTCAAGTGATGCCGACATTTGAACACAGTATCTTATGAATGTGTGCCGTTCAATGGAGTTTTTCCAGGTGTGTCTCGCTCGGATTTTGTTCGTTTATATATCATTCGATAGAGAACCTCGACTAGATAAAAAAGCTTAAAAAGATTGCGGCCGATGACTTTTCTTTAGGAGTTACGACCATGTTTCTGATTTTCTCAGCGAAGAGAAAAATTCATCACTTCATCAAGGAACCTCATAGAGAGCTGAAAGGACATGGTCGAAAATCATAGATTTTTCCTCACACTGGAAATGGTATAAAATGAAAGTACTTGATGAGTAAATCACTAATCCCATATCAGTTTGTCAAGATTTGATCCCTTTTTTATAGGTGTGTTCCAGTGTTAGGGGTGCAACAAATCCTATTTTTCTATATAAAGATTATAAATTTTCAGTATTAAGACCCACCAAATCTTTGTGTCGATTATAACCAATTTTATTTTCTCTACTCGATAATGGTATAAAATGACGAAATCTATCCAAGACATTTCTACGATTTGGTAGGGTTTGGTGAAAATATGATACTTTTTACAAAATCCTGCCAAATCTTAGAAGTGTCTTGGATAGATTTGACCATTTTACACCATTATCGAGTAGAGCAAATAAAACTGGTTATAATCGACACAAAGATTTGGTGGGTCTTCATATTGAAAATTTGTAATCTTTATATAGAAAATAGGATTTAGTGCGCCCCTATCCAGTGCCAAGTACGTCAATCGGACTCAGACATACGTATTCGACACTGGAAAACACCTATAAAAAGGGGATAAAATCTTGACAAACTGATGTGGAATTAGTGATATACTCATCAAGTACTTTCATTTTATACCATTTCCAGCGTGAGGAAAAATCCATGATTTTCGACCATGTCCTTTGGATGTGGGCAAAGAGAGCACTAGCGCCTACGTTCACATCTACACCCTCAAATTTCCTAGAACTCAGGACAAGAGAATGATAGAATTTTGAAACTTCTAGAGTATATCGAGGACCTTTAAGACTACTATCAAAACAAATTTCGACTCTCTACGAATTTTTCTCTTCGCCAGGAAAATCAGACAATTGATCTTCAACTCCCGAAGAAAAAGCCGTCGGGCGCAATCCTTTTAACCTATTCGATGTCCTCTATCGAATGATATATAAACAAACGAAATCGACGCGAGACATGTTAATCCCGTAGGAATGGTGTTAATAATGTTTGTTGTTTGTTTGTTTTTTTTGTAGAATGCACTTAATGAAGCAACATGTCTTGGACTTAATCATCATGGTATTCATTCTCGTTCATTACTTCGAAATGAATTTAAACTTGAAGCTTGGTAAATAAATAAAATCTATATTAATTTTATTCGTCTTATTGTTTTTGTTTTTTATTAGTTGGCATAATGTAATATCAATTTTATCGAATAAACAACGTCAGATAACTATAACAATAAAAAATGGCAATATGAATATTCATACACTTATTTATTATACAGATTCAACAAATTATAATCGTTATTGTCTTCGTCTTTTTCTATTATTTTCACATCATTTTTCTAAATTTATACCAAATGAAATTGAGTATAAAAATTTTGATTTTTTGTTTTTTTTTTAATAAAAAGAAATCTTTTTTTTTTTTGTAGAAACATTCCAAAATTAAATACATTTCCAATAAAAAAACAATGTTTAGTACATGGTGCAAGTGTACCAGATCTTCGTTCTGATGGTGAATCATTAAGTAATGATTGTACATCACCATCAGCTTCATCATCAACACGTTCATCAAATAATAGTTCAAATATATGGACGGGTAGTTTACCAAATTTAACTATAGAATTAACAACTCGACAACAAACAAATGATATATTTAAAAAAAAGAATGATCCATATGCAACATTTTCTGATAATCTTAATCATATTGATGAACAAGAAACAATTTCTTCAATTCCAAAAAAGGTAGATTAAAAAGAATATACATACTCATTGTATTTAAACATTAATATCATGAGAACAAGTCACTAACAGCTCTCTGTCTCGAATTACTCGTCCGATTGCATACTGACTACATTGTATTTACTTTTGTAGTTAGTCAGTGTGTATGAAGAGCACAAAAATTCTGCGTTATGACGGCCTTCTGCTCAGAGCTACAGCTAGACATCGGACTATGGAATCTATCGCTAGACAGTATCCAATATAAAAAAGGCTGAGGTATTCTTCTTTCCTTCTTCCTATATTTTAAATATAAAAAAATTGATATTCGAGTGCACTTTACTATTAAAAGAGTGTCCTTTCTTTCTCTTTATAATCGATGAGTATATTAAAACGAAAATGATTCTTTCTTTTTCTTGTTTGACTTTAATATATTACTTAACTGTAATCTATTTTATATGCAATAGTGTCGTTTTGTGTCTTCTTTCTATTGTTGAAAGTCTTAGCTTGTAAAGAGGTATTGTTCTTAATTTATTCAATTTTTAACTGAATATCTTAAAATCTAATATAGTTTATTGTAATTAGACACGATAAATATTTTGATGGATGGTTAAATATGTCTAGGTTTCAGCTACATATAGAAGAGATCATTACAAGTCGGTTTTTTTTGTAATCCAACCTTAGATAAATCAATAGTTTTGTGAGTCTCATAACATCGAGATGTAGTCAATATGTCAGTTAACAGAAAAAATCTGCTTGAATTAATCTATAGACTAGACTATAAAGTCTTACAATAAAAACAAAAATTGAAATATCTCTGCATCGATGCAATCAAATAGACTGATTTTTTGATTAACAATAGAAGTTTATTCAAAGCTTTTCTTTTTTTTTTCAAAAGGATAAGGTAAGCAAATAACTACTGTTAAATATATCATGCAAGCAATTTTACTTGTTATCAGGTAATAAAAATACATGTGTAGTATATTTCAAAGATAATTTTCAGTTGTCATCTAAGAGAATAAAAAGAAGTCAAAATGAATTTTATGAATAATACTATATTGATGTATATAGAGAAAATTTTCCAAAATTAATTAGTTCATAAAATTTATTTTTATTCTTTTAGATAACAATTAAATATTATCTATGAAACGTTTTGTATATATTTTTTTTCTTCTTTGACAATAGTACTATATATTTATGTTATCTGTATGAGAAAAAGAAAGAAATGTAAATAAGCGTCTACCATTAACCGCAAACATCAGAGAATTGCTGCGAAGATATTTCAATTTCTTTTTGTTTTGAATATAGTTTTATTTGTGACTTATCTGGTAATTTGATTTTCATTTATAGAATTAGATAAATAATATTCTGTGACATTTTTTTTTGCAGAAGTAATTCTCAAGAGTATTTTATGTGAATAAATTCATCTATAAATAATTTTGAAATGAAGAATAAATATTAATCGAAGGATATTATATAAGAATTCAATTTTTTTGTTTCGTTAATCTAGGAATAACTGATTACGATAGTGAAAGAGAGAGAGAAGAAAATAAAACCTGATCATATAACATAAAGACAATCAAATTAAACGAAATATTTAATGAAGAATTTGTATAAGACGTAGAAAAATAATTAAACTACATTGAAAATCGATTGATTGAATTAAAATTTATCGCAATGAATTATAAAGTTTTTTTATATATATGAATAAATATATAAATTATTTCATTTTTAATTCTTCCAAAATAAATTTCATTGTCTTATTTCAATATTGATATAATACATAATGACCCAAAAAAACAAACAATTGACTATCTATTTTCTTTGAATAGGAAGTAGCATTACGACATTCATTACCAGTTCCATATCAATCTCAATCACCAATGAATAATAAAGTAAAATTTCAGTTTTTTTTCTTGATATGATGATTTGTTCTTCTTAATAGATTAAAAATAGTTCTTACAGGTTTCTTATATAATTAATCCCTTTTTTTTTGTGTTTTTTGACGATAGTTATCTCATTATTCTTTGCTCATGTCTACTCCCAGTCTTGGTTTAACATGTTCTCTTGCTACATTTGATAAAACTTCTATATCACCATCGATGATAAATATTTCGAAAATATCATCATCATCATCAATTAATCTTTCACCATGTTTTTCATGTGAATGTCTTCATCGAGGTGATAAAGTAAGTTTTTATGCTGCATGTCAGATGTTGATCGTTTCAAATGCATGCTAATGTTTCAACTTCTTTTTTTTTTCATCTCATTCTTTAGACATTTTCATTGCGTTCGTTCTTTATACATATATATGTATATAATATTGAAAGTGTGTTATTGATATGACATTCATTGTAATTTTACCTTGTTATATGATTCTTTCGTTAAGTTTCCTATTGTTTTTTTTTCCTTTTATATATGCGTGTCTATGAGTGGAATAATTCATAAGAAGGCATGTGCATGAAGTTTACTTTTATTGAAAAAAAAAACAAAAATTTCGATTGTGGTTATTGATTTCTTTTAAATAGGATTCGCTTCTACAATCACCTTTGAATATATCAACAATAACAACCAATAGTCGATCATTATTGGTACAGGATTTTTTTTTTTCGAAGTCTTACATAGATGATGGAATAGATCAATATTTATTTTGGTTTTTGTTTTTTTAGAATTCAAGAACATATCTTTCATCAACATCAGTACCACTTGAAGTTGATACTATTAGTGTTCATGATGATGATGCACCAACAGATATTTGGGTAAGAATTTAATTGAAAGATTGTTCTTTTTTCTTTTGAAGAGTTATAAAATAGTTAATAACCCCTGTGTAAAAAGTCTTCGTACAAAAGTTTTGTTCGATTTTCGGCCACTTATAGATTGAAGAACAGACTCAAAGGTAGTCAGCTAGAAAGAGAATTTCTTGCGCTTTCTAAATATATATTCAGAATTTTATTCTGACTTGAACTTAATTCATTAAGAGAAGATATTTAATAGGGACCAAAAACGACGTTTGTACAAAACACTAATTTCAAGGGTAATGATAAATATGTTTGCTGATTTTTCGATCATTTAAATATAATCGAAAAGAATCTAAAGTAGTCGATTAGAAATAGAATTCGATGGTCTTTCTAAATATATCTTTAGAATTTTGTTCTGATTCTTATCTAGTCAGTTGTAAGCAAATATCTGAATAAATAAAAATGTCGTTTGCAACATCTAAAATGCGCTTTTTTTCCCTCTTGTTCGTAATTTCGCTAAAAGTATTATGAAATAATTTTTACCTCCTATTGTTGTAGAGAATTACATATTCTACGAAACTATGAGATACAATAAACTAGAACTCAAAAGGATCAAAAGTTACAAATATTTTTCGGAATGCTACTCTTTCTGTGAAATAACATTTTTCAAAATAATCGTTTATTCCGTATTGCGCCGCTTGACATACAAGGAATTTTGATGGTTTGCAATGATATATTCGAAGCAAAATAAATTGAGCATTTTGTAGAGCAAGCTTCATTCTGCAAACTGGTGTGTAAAATCTCTTTCGTTCAATTCGAACTGAAGCCCTTTTAACTCAAATACAAAAGTGGACTGCATGGAATATTCTGTACAAACGTCGTTTTTGGTCCCTATCAAATATCTTCTCTTAATGAATTAAGTTCAAGTCAGAGTAAAATTCTGAAAATATATTTAGAAAGGGCAGGAAATTCTCTTTCTAGCTGACTACGTTTGAGTCTGTTCTTCAATCTATAAGTGGTCGAAAATCGAACAAAACTTTTGTACGAAGACTTTTTACACAGGGGTTATAATGTTTAGTTGGAAATTTTCTTAAATAATTGATTAATTGCGATAGAATGTTTATTAAATTATTGTTTCGTTTTTCTCTATGAAAATCTATAATTTGATGTCACAAAGTATTCATATAGTTTATAAGGTTATCAAATTTTATTATGTTTTAAAAATATTTTAAACCGAAATTTGTTTGTATTCAAAATTACAAGAATATTGAAATTGGAAATATTTTCCTGAAAGATAATAAAATCTTTTCTTTATCTTCTTACAAAGGATTAAATTAGCATTGAAAAAATTGATACATTACAATCGAACGATACATATATATTAGTTCACAATTTGCTGTTCTTTTTAATCACATTTGCAAAAGCTAAAACAAAAAAATCAAACAATAGTCATGAAAATTTAGTTCATCACTTTCTTGTTCTTCAATAATCATTGTAATTTCTGTGCATGTCTAATTCATTGCTGCACGCTAATGCATGTTAATTTTGAGACGAGTAATTCCGACCCGAAAACAAAAAAAAACATTACATTTACTGATTTCGATATGTAAGCCTTTTTCTTTTTGGAGTTTCTAATAAAACAGAATAGTTTTTCGAGTATAATGGAAATTGATATAAAAGAGATTGAGTAAATAATTCTTGGAATTTCTAGTACTAACATTACTTATTTAGTCTGTTAACATGCGATGCAAAAGTCTCATCATTACACGTGCGTTTTCATTTTACTTTTAATATAAAAAAATGATATTGCGTGAAGGTGAAGTTGCAAGAACGTTTTTAAAGCTGTTTAGCTTTTCTTGCTTCGTAGATTCGTTTAGGAAAAATAAGTCTGGTATAAAATTTATAGTTCAAACTTTGCTCTTTCCAACAAAAAATATTTGACTGATTTAGAAGCTGGCAATATGGTCTAGCATAGATTGACATTTTTTTCAAGACTTTTACATTGCATGTTATGTACCACATTAAAAATTAAGGAAGAATTATTTCATGTAATACTGTTGTCAACAAGTAATGCATAATAATATCTATGTCTGTTTTTTTCTTGATCGATGCATGATCTCTTAATAAGAAGTGATCATTTTGATGTTTCCACTATTTGAAATTAGTGTTATTCTTACTTGAAGGAATTTCCTATTCGTTAACTACTATTATCAATAGGAAGACTAAATTCATAGAATGTTCAATTCTGAAATGAGTTTAATTTTTATTAATGCCTAAGTTTCTTCTTGTTTTAATTAGCAGGCGGCGAAAGTTTCATCGTAGAAAGTATAAAATTTTCAGTATAGACAAAGTTTAGATTCTGAATTGGTGAATAACTTTTCTTGACCATTATCAATACATTTAGTATGATGCGAAACTATTTATTACATAGTGGAAAACATTACATCAATTTTGAGAGCTGGAATTCCGATATCTAATTGAGAATTTATCCATTTAAAGTTTCGAATTCGTTTTTCTCGAACATTCAAATGACAAACAACGAGCAAAGAGTTTCAACTATGACTCGTCAATCGAACTGATATTTTACTCATAAGTAGACTCTGACGAGACTAGTAGAAGTCTATAAGGTTTCATCCTTATGTCCTCTCTTAAGTAATTACAATTTTACTGATTTTGTTATCTCTAACACGATATGTGTGAAAAAATTGGATTACGCAATTTCAATCTGAAGTTTTGTTTATATGTAGATCATGTAGATATTAGAATACCTCGAAAATTTCAGCATAAAAGGAAATATTCAACCTCTCAAGAAGAACAAATCCTTTTAGGTTGAAATTCTCAGAGCATTCTAATATTCATGGGATCTATGTATAGGCGAAATTTCAAATTGAAATTGCTTACTTCGATTTTTTCATCAGTACCATGTCAGAGAGGAAAATAACTCACGCTGGAACATCGCTAAGTGTGAGTCTCAGTTTTGAATGGGATATATACCAGTTTGTAGAGCTCGACGAGCTGATTCTTGTGATATGTTTCGTTTTTGCTCATAGACCTCCAAATGAGAGAAACCAATCGATTTTAATAGTGAATTTCTTGTCTTACAATAGAGGGGCGTGTACTGTTAGTTGAATTGATTGACCATGTTCGGGTCAAATGAACACTCTCACTAAGAAACTAACGAATTTAAAATATGAGCTGCTATTGATAAGGACAGGACATAGTATTGTTCTGGCCGATTATGGGGTTTGTAAGGATCCTCTTTCATGTGGCCCGAACAACACCATGTTTTATTCTTATAATAGTAGAGTGAATATTTTTGATGACTGATGAAAAACCCGGTTTTCTATGAGTTACAGAAAAAATTCACTCTACTATTATACGGATGCAACATAGGATTATTCGGGCCATATGAAAGAGCATCCTTAATAACCCCGATTGACTCATAACAATATGTTCCGCTTTTATAATAGTAGAGTGAGTTTTTTCTGTAACTCATAGAAAACCGCGTTTTCCATCAGTCATCAAAAATATTCACTGTACTATTATAAGGATAAAACATGGTGTTGTTCGGGCCATATGAAAGAGGACCCTTACTAACCTCATAATCGACCAGAACAATACTATGTCCTGTCCTTATCAACAGCAGCTCATATTTTAAATTCGTTAGTTTCTTAGTGAGAGTGTTCATTTGACCCGAACATGGTCAATCAATTCAACTAACAATACACGCCCCTCTATTGTAAGACAAGAAATTCACTATTAAAATCGATTGGTTTCTCTCATTTGGAGGTCTATGGACAAAAACGAAACATACCACAAGAATCAGCTCGTCGAGCTGTACAAACTGGTATATATCCCATTCAAAATTGAGACTCACACTTGGCGATGTTCCCTCGTCAGTAAGACTGCAATAACCTGGGAAGGACAGTACATGGAGATCAACTCTTATAGGTTTCTGCTAGTCTCTTCGGAACCTACTTATACTGAGGTAGATAACTTCACTATGTTCCAATCCAACTCTGAGTTGAAGTTGTTCATCTGCATATTTTTGAATAAAATATCAGTTCAATTGACGAGTCACATAGGGAAACCTTCCTTCATAAGTCTGACTAGAATAAATATTCATTCTAGTCTTCCTTGCATTAACAAATTCATCTTATAGCTCTTCCATGATTCTTCATTTCCATCTCCCTTTTGTACAGTTTTACAATGAGAACACATTTGAAAACATAACCAAAGACTCTTTGAGATGAAAATATATACTATTTAAAAAAAGAAAAAATGAAAAGATTAGATAATTATCAAATTAAAAATTTTCTTTTCTTTTAGTTAGCTGATTTTGAATCGAAATTATTCAATAATATTGTTTATGATGAATTTGATTCTATACCACTTGCTCGTATTAATAGTTCAATTCAAGATGGACGATTAACTGAAAATACTCGTCGTAATCGATATGTTGATGTTATACCTTATGATGATACACGTGTTCGATTAATACCAACAAAAGATAATTTACATGGTTATATAAATGCATCACATGTTAAAATTCGTATTGAAAATACAATTTATTCATATATAGCAGCTGAATCTCCATTACCATTAACTGTATATGATTTTTGGCGAATGATATCTGGTAGTAATATACATGTTATTGTTATGTTAATTGGTAATGATCCACAATTATGTGCAAATTATTTTCCAAGAAATAAAAATGAAAAATGTCGAACAGATGAATTTGAAATTGAATTAATATCAGAACAAAATCGACAAGATTATCATATACGTCATTTACGAATGAAATTTATTAATGGACAACGAATACGTACTATTATTCATTTACAATATATTGCTTGGGATGATGCACAATTACCACTTGATACAAAATCATTTATTGGTAAAAAGCAAAAAAAAAATAATTATTTTATTTCTTAGAAATTTTTCTTTTTTAAAGATTTTATTAATGTAGCAAATAGTTTTCGAAGACATTATGGTGAAACTAATCCATGTCTTGTTCATTGTACGGCTGGGTAAGAAAATAAGATTTTTCTTTAAAACTAATACGAATTAGAATTTTTCTTTTTGAGGAGGGGTGGAATCGTTTATAAAAATTAAACGATACATAGAAACATGATTTTATTTTTGTAGAAAACTTCATGAGATATTGATGGAAAGAAAAATAAACTAAAATATTCTTTCACTTCAGGTATAAGCCAAGTACAAATCTTTGGAATTTGTTGTGTGATAATAGAAATTGATGAAGAGGCGCATTAGTCAATAATATGGTTTTTCATATTGTCATTGGAGTAACCAAAATCATCCTGTGCTAAAATCAGGACAATTAATAGATCTGATCACATGATTAATATATTAGAAAGACGAACACTCTAAGATTATTTTATCAGTGGAGTTTCTGAAATCACGGTCGGCAGTATAGAATGAAGTTTATTTTTCAACATTTGAAATATCTTCATACAAGACGTAACAAAATATAGTATTCATTTTTTTGGCTATGGTATAGGGGGAGGGCCTATAATTTTGTTACATCCTATATAAAGAAATTACTCTCCTACAGCCAAGAGGTTCGAAAATCAGCTTTCTCAGCGTTTCTGAGAATATTACGGCATTGACTAGAAAAATGCCATGAAATGTAGTATAAATACATTAATAAGCTAGGATTCGAACTTTTTTCAAGGTATTCATAGCTCATTAGACTCTATAGGATGTGCATAGTCTCAATTCAAAAATGATTAGTTAGTAGGGAAGAAAGGGAAAAAAAATGAAGTATTAAAAAGTACGATGAGTAACGTACTTCGACATGACTATGAATTTTTCATATTCTAATTCAAATCTATTTAATTTTTCTGACGAGGGAACATTCCCAAGTGTCACATCGCTTTTGGATCGAAAATATAAGCATTATATAGGTCCTAATGATCTATGAATACCCTGAAAAAAGTTCGTGCTACTCGCTTATTGGTGCTGAGATATGGCATTTTTACGGTATTGTTTAAAAATAAATGCCGTGGTCCCCCTCAGTTATACCAGAAAAATCAATTTTCGAATTTCGATTTAAAACTTTGTACAGAGATAGGTCTTAACAGGAATAGTTTATTGTGAAGATCTCAGATCTTTTGATTCTGTTCTATCCTGAAATATGAGCATCAAATCTGCCCATATATGTGAGCGATTTTATCATAGCCATATCTTAGGATAGAAACAATCAAAAGATCTGAAACTTTCACAATAAACTATTCTCATCGAGGTCTATCTATATGCAAAATTTCAAGTAAAAATTCGAAACTCAATTTTTCTGATGTTCCTGTGGAGGAGTACGGCTTTCTGCTTAAAAATACCGTACAATTGTAATATCTCGGCACCAGTAAGCTAGTAGCACGAACTTTTTTTAGGATATTCATAGATCATTAGTACCTATATAATGCTTATGCTATCGACTCAAAAGCGATGCGACACTTGGGAATATTCCCTTGTGAGTTTTATCTTCAATAGTTTAAATCTATAGGAATTTAATTGTTTGTTTGTTTGATAAATTTTAGTATTGGTCGTACTGGAATTTTTATTCTAATTCATGTAATGATTCAATGTATCACATTTAATAAAGTATGTAAAAATAATTCTAAATGAATTTATTTAAATTTATTTATTTGTTATATTTAGAAAGTAAGTGTAGCAAGTGTATTAAAAGTAATGCGTGAACATCGAATGTCACTTGTCGATCGTACATATTCATATGTTTTTGTTTATCGTTGTCTTATTGATTATTTAAAAACATCTAGACTAATCTAATAATAAATATCTATTTCATACATTTAAGCATTCCATAAAATGTAATTAAAAACTTTTTTTTTTCTTTTTCTTGTTGAAAAAACAAATTTAATATGTTTATGTACGTATTTTTTTTTCCTCTTTTCCATTTGTGCTTCTTCAATGCGCGCTAGACTGTGTTTCTTTTTTTTTATTGTGTACTTATTCAATAAACGAAAAGCAATAATAATGAATATAATGAATTCATAATAACTTTATAATTCTAGATCTTGAATAATAATAAAGACAAACAAAAAAAAGATAATGGTAGCATTAACAAATGAATCACCAACATTTTGTTTTGATCGAGATGAATTATCAACGGTAGAATGAAAAAAAGATAAAACAAAACAAGAGTTGTAATTTTGATTAATATTAAAATTTTTATTTAGACGGATTTTAATGTTGATGCATTTGTTGTAAAATATAAACGTGAAGTTGGTTTAGAAAAATTACGTGATGATTTAGATTTATTTTTACGTGTACTTAAATCCAGTATGGTAGAATTAATAAATCGAGATTTTGCAGATTTCTTAAATTTATCAACTAATTTGGTATGAAGAATTCTTTTATTATTTTTTTTAATTTAAGAATCTATTCAACGTAAATCACAACTGACAATCGATAGTTTTTTTACGCTCAGGAGACTTCCGCCTAACTTGTAATAGTTCAAGATTTTCCGAACGATTGATCTAGAGAAAAATCTGATCTATAAAAGTCGGAATTATATAGTTTTAAACTACACACTGAGTATTGATCTTTTTTTAATTGACATAAATAAATTCTTTGAAAATGATAATTGATTCTTTGTATTTCCCTTCAGGATTTCAGAGTCAAATAATTTTTTTACCATTTTCAAAGAAGTTATATATGTGAATTAATAGAAGATCATATGTTGATTAATTTCTTAACAATTTTGGATGTATTAAGTACACGGTTGGAAAAAATATTATTCCAGGGGGGTAACGCTATAATTTCAAATAGAAGACATAATAAATTTTATATCAAATGAAAGCTCGTTAAAAAGGGGGTCTATTGGTATTAAATAGTGAGGGTTATGAAAACCTTTTAATGTCGAGCTTAATAAATTTTATACTTTTTTTGGGATGGAAAATTAAAGTACTAGTGATTCAAGAATGGAGTAAAATGTTTTTCTTGAATATTTTTACACGGTTCGATAGAGCTCGTCGAGCTCTATAAAACTGTATACATTAACAAAATTTTTAAGACACTTTTTTTGCGTTAAAAAATTCAAAAAACTATTTGGAAAATCTTAGAAAACATGAAAAAAATTCATATTTTTCATGTGGAAGAACAACACTTACTTTTTCACTAAAAGTAGCTTTTTTCATTGTTTTTACTCCGTCAGGCGTTTCGAAACATACTCATTAGACGCAGCTTTTCACACTGCATCGAACGAGTATATTTCGAGACGTCTGAGGTAGTAAAAACAACGAAAAAAGCTACTTTTATTGAAAAATTGAGCGGGTTTCTTCAATTTGAAAAAAAAAAGAGTTTTTAAATGTTTTTAAGGTTTCCCGAGTAGTTTTTTGAACTTTTTATCTCAAAAAGATGCCTCAAAAATTTTTTAACATTCACAGTTTTGTAGAGCTCAACGAGGTCTATCAAACCATGTAAAAATATTCAAGAAAAAAAATTGACTTCATTTTTGAATCAGTGGCACCTTGATTTTCCACCCCAAAAAAATATAAAATTTCTGAAAACTTCTTAAGTTTGACATTAGAAAGTTTTTACAAGCCTCACTATTTAGTATCAATAAACCCCATTTTTGACGAGCTTTCATTTGATATAAAATTCATTATATCTTCTATTTGAAATTATAGCGTTACCCCCCTGGAATAATATTTTTTCCAACCGTGTATGAAAAACGAGTCATTTTGTGAGCTCCGCAGGTTATCTACGACGTCCCATATCGATTCTAGTAGAAGTTTGTAGCATACAATGTGCGAACATAATCACAAGTTTGACGTAAGCCTTCTGAGCGTCAATAGCTAACCGAAATTTTTAGCAGAGTGAGTACTCGAAAAATGATAATTCTCTCGTTTACATGATAGTATGAGTCAACACTCTCAATTCGTACTCATTGTTTTAGAGTAAATACTCAAACTTCAAATGTATTCACACTGAAAATATCAAGTCAAACGAATATAACCCCCGATGATATATAACTGTCAGAAAAAATGTGCTTTTTTTTCAATGATAATGACCTCAAGAAAACTGCAATATCATATTTTTTCGAACGGCTTGTATAGAAATTCATCAAACACTTGTTCCTATAACATATATAAAACTATCTATTGTAGCTTACGTAGAATGGCTCTTAAGAGGAAAAAAAAGAAATCAAAAATGAACTTTTATTTAGGTTGGTTTTGATAAATCTATAACAACACTTAAAAATCCATTGACTGCAATGAAAACTGATATAATGGTAAATGTATTTTTTATGATTAAAAGAAAAAAAAAGCAAATTTTTTTCAATAGAAAATAAATGAAACTCTTAGTACACAACGACGAGAAATTGAAGAAAAATTACGTGAACAAAATGCTATTCGTCAACGAAAACAAGTTATACAATCAATAATTGATGTACAAAAATCTATACAAAAATTAAATGAACTTGATGATGCAATAAATCTATCAAAGTAAATTGAACAAAGAAAAAAAAACAAAGAGTTTTTGTATTTTATTAAAATTTTCTTTAGAATTGATATTAGTGAAATGATTGAACGTGCTGTTGTTCAATTTAGTTTTATTTCTATACAATTAGATAAATGTGATCAAAATGAACCAACTGTTGAATCACTTAAATTAGTAAAAAAACAAAAAAATAAGTTTTTCTTTGTTTATTTATTTAATTTAGATTATAGAAAATTTACGTCGTGTTTTTGAAAAACGTTTAACAACAGCTTTTATTAATGCATATCGTGAACCAAATATGTCATTATTAGCCGATTCTCTTAAAGGTTTAGCTTCAATTTCACTTCAGACTATTGCTGAACAAACATTTGCAAATGAAATTGTTCGACCTTATATGGAAAAGGTAATGAATTAACTTTTTTTTTCAATTGAGACTAAAGTAAATAGAAGAATTTCAAATTTACAGAAGAAAAAAAAACCGAATATAGAGAATAGAACTCATCGGATTAGTTCTAATCCAGTCGATCACAGTCTAAAATTAACAGTCAATTATGACTTAATGAGAATATATTAACAATAGAATACAAATAATCGATGAATTGTTGTTTTTTGTTTTTGGAGTGATTTGAAAACCCACGCTAAAAAATTCCGTTGAAATTAGGATAATGATTCGGATCGAAAAAAAAAATTTGGACCAGACAGATTTTAATAGACAATGGTGTATATATAACCGCGATATTTTATAAAGTATGTGTAATGTATTTGAAATGTTTTTTAAATATTTTTATGATAAACATACCAAAAAATAAAAAAGATAATAATAAATCGTATTCCTACAATAGAAGATCTTTTTCTTAGATTAATTTCTCGAAAAATTCGAATTTTAATTAATATCTTTAAAATTAAAACTTATGAATATATATAGAAGACTATCTTGAAAATTTTCTACGCTTGGGCGTTATATATAATCCGAAATCTTCTATTATGACATGGAGCGAATTTACAATTTGTTGTAATTTTATAATTTAGTTTCCAGAAATATAATAAGAAAGTAATTAATCCATCTGTTATAATGAGACATTATTAATATACAATTTGTGAGGCGAAAGAGATTTTTTGATCTCTATATGTCAGCATTCTTTTTCGATTATATTTCACAAAATCCAATATTTGTTTTTGATATAGAAATGATCGTTTCAAATGAACTGTACAAAAGAGTGAATGGGATAAGATTGAAATTTTAAAGAATCTATTTAAAGTTAAATTTGCTTCTATACAAACCTTCAAATCAAAATTCGAAATTCAAATTTCTTGAGGAGAAAAAACCACAACATTCTACTAAAAAGATACAGTATCTCGACAGTAATAAGGGAATCAGTTCATGATTTGTTCTTTTTCTTGGAATCGAACCGATCCAATCTTTGATACACATAATTCCAATTCAAAAGCGCTTTGACACTTAGAAACATTCTTTCGAACGAACATCTCTATACTGTATGAAATTTTTTCTAATGAGGGAATATTCCCATATGTCTCGTTTCAATTTCATTCGACAGGGAACCTTGAGTAAGTAAAAAGCTTAAAAGAATTTTTCTTAGGAAGTTACGACCAGTTTTCTAATTTCCCTAGCGAAAACTTGCATAAAAAAAAAATTCATAATTCCATCAAGGAAATTCATAGAGACTCGAAATTTGTTTTGATGGTAGTTTTAAGGGTCCTCTCTATACTCTGAAACTTCTAGAGTATATAGAGGATTCTTAAGACTACTATTCAAAACAAAGTTCGGTTCTCTATGAGCTTCCTTAATGGAGTTATGAATTTTTCTTTTTATGCTAGTTTTCACCAGGGAAATCAGAAAACTAGTTGTAACTACCAAAGAAAAACTCTTTTACACTTTTTATCTACTCGAAATTCCCTATCGAATGATATACAAATGAACGAGTCACCTGGGAATGTTCGTTCGTAAGTATTCAAAACTTATAATAAACTCTATTGAGTTATTCGAAACGAAATTTTTTCCTCTCAGAAAATCTTTTTTTGTTTTATTATTTAAGACTGTTCGTAATGCATTAATTCAATCAACAGATATATCATTAGCATTTGATAAAACATTAGATTTTATTCGTACAGAATGTAAAGCAATGCTTTATGTTGTTGAACGTATAAATCGTGAATGTGGTAGTTATTTTGATTTTGTTGTTAATTCAATATTTCCTGAATTAATACAATGTCTTGAACAAACATCAAATATATTATTTTTTGTTGGTGATCCTGATATATTTCATGAAAGATATTCATATTGGTTAAAATTTCTTGAACAACTTCAAACAATTTTATCAAAAATAAGTGATGAAAATTTAAAAAAATCAAAAATTTATATTGAATTTTCATCACGATGGGATTTAGTTGTTTATTATCAAATAAGATTTCAAGAAATATCAAATTCAATTGAAAATATAATTGTTAATAAATCATATGAATTAAATGAAGAAAAAAATTCATTATTTAAAACACTAATTACATTAACTATATTTCAATCAATTGAACATTGTTGGCAAAAAAATATTTTTCTTGAACCATTATCACATCGATTTTGGAAATTAACATTACAATGTATTGTTCGATTTTGTGTATGGATTGAAACATTTAATGTAAAGAAATTTTTCAAATGAATTTATTTTAGAAAACAAAAAAAAACATTATTTTTAATATTTAGATAAAAACAATTGATATGAAATTTCTTTTAAATCTTTATATTGATCTTCAAACATTTTCTAATGAAGTAAAAAAATTTTTTCATAATATTATTCTTGGTCAACGACTTACATCAATTATTTCATTATCACCAAATATAACAATAGAATTAACAAATAGTAAAAAGAATTTCTTTTCATTGAAAAAAAAGAATTTTTTTGTTATCGATTAGTTTTAGATGAAACACTTTTCAATTTAACAGATAAATGTCGTCAAAATTTAAAAAATTTAATTATTAGACAATTAATTGATCGATGTAATGAAACACTTCATTCCATACAAGAAATTCCTCGAATGTATAGAAAAACAAATCGTGAAGTAAGTTTTAATAAAAAAATATAAATTATTATCTTTCGTCCTTGATATTAATCGGTCAATATGACATAAAGAAAAATTTCTAAATTGAATAGAACAGCAAATAAATGTACTTGTACATGTTTGGACTATAACCTGAAAATTATCTTGCATTCTTTTTCATATTTTTTTTTACATGGTCTATTATAATAGTACAAAAAACGAGCATTTTTTTGTTTAAATAAATGTTCTTAATGCGATCATGATAAATTTCTATGGAGAAATAATCGACCCAACAGCATGTTTATTGAAAATTATAATAAAAATGTATATAGAAGAATAGTTTATTTGCATGAAAACAACAAAAAACAAAATATTTTGCTTTCGATGAAAAGATAAGAAGCAAAAAAATGTAAAATCAATCAATTATCACTAATTATCAAAAAAAAACAAATAGCACTTATATATTGATATTTTTGAATGATCTCAGAAGTATTTTTAGACTAGTTCGATCAATTTGCTATTTATTTAAATAAATGTTTCTTTAATTTATTTTATTGCACGTTCTAATTCTTAAAATATACAAAAAAAAATAAAAGAATTTATTCAATTTAGGCTCCTAGCAAACCATCAAGTAGTATTATTACAACTTTTCGTCATTTACAAACATTTTCTAATGATTATAGTGGTACTATATTAACTGAAGATGAATGTAAAGAATTTCAAACAATTGCTATGGAAGAAATTACTAAAAAGTATTTTTTTTTATTTAAATTATTCATTTTTTTTCGAAATAGACATATTTTTTTTTTTTATTTAATAATTTTAGTTATTATGAATTATGTTCAGAGATTTTATCATCTGTTCGAAAAATGGAAGATAGTATTCAACGTTTAAGACGTGTTCGTGAATCATCTAAAGCATTATCAAGTATGTCACAAAGTATGACAACATCATCAACAGCTGCACTAACAGATGATAATAAAATTCGTATGCAAATTCAACATGATGTTAATGCATATACAAGCGAAGTAATTTTTTTTTTGATTTCGATTTAATTAATAATTTTTCTATTTAATTTAGCTGAAAAATCTCGATATTCATATTGAATCATCAAATAAATTAACTATTCTTAATGAAGAAAGTCGTTTACAAATTTAAAATTTAATAAACATTTCATTTTATTTTAATTCTTCATTTTTTTTTTGTTTGCTATTTAATAAATAAATAATTCTTTTAGATGAATATATCTAAATGGTTTATACGATCTGATGAAATTTTATCAATAAAAAATTTTTATTTGTTAAATATAACATCGGATATAACTAATGATATTGAAACTGATAAAAATAATAACTATTGGAAATATTGTTCATTTGATGAAATAAAAGAAAAACTTCTAAATAAATATCATATATCTCAAGAGACATTTATTGTTTTATATACAAAAGAAAAACTAATGATAGCAGCTCGTTTTGCTTGGCTTTTATATTGGATTGGTTGTAAAAATATTAAAATTTTAATAGAAAAAATAGATCCTTCTTTATTTATGAGAAATTTTTCTCAAATATCAAATCTACCAAATATTCCATTACGATCAAATGTTCGATTGACTTGTGATCAATTATCTAATGAATTTCTTTCTCTAACAACAAAATTTATTGATGTAAGAACATATAAAGAATATTCAGGTGAAATAACTGGTTATTCATATGTTCATCATAGTGGTCATATTCCAAATTTTCAATATGATCCACTCAATGGAATTTATGGTGAAATCAATGGTGATATTACTTGGAATGAATTAGAAGAATATTTAAAAATGATGTCTAAGATAAATATATATGATAAAAATATGAAAAAAATCATTTATATGTGTGGTACAGGTTGGCGAGCAAGTTTAGCAGCTATTTTTGCTGAAGTGTTAAATTTAGCTGATACAATAACTGTACTTGATTCTGGTTGGTTTGAATGGTCTGAAAGATATTTAGAATAATAAATAAAAACTTGCTTATCATGTACTTTGACATTGTTCTTTTCTTTTTTTTTTTTTCATTCTTATCAAAATCGAAATTAATCTATTACATAAGTCCAGTAAAATAATTTATATTTGGAGAAATTTTCGATGCATTATCAGGCATAGGAACATCAAATACAATTAAATCATTTGATGGATTATAAGAACGTGTACACATAGATGCATTTATAAAATATGTATATCCATTGAATGATATTCCAAATTCTAAAGAAAAGAAAAGAAAACGAAATATCAATTATATATTTAAATAATCTATGACCTTCTCGACTATATCCAAATACATGAAAGGTTGGTCCAATTCGACATGCTACTGTTCCTTAAAATATTCAAACAAGTTTAATAATTATATATTTCATATACTTCTTATACCGAGAAGGTCAACATCGCCTAAATGTTCTTCAATATAATCAGCGTCACCATGACCTAATAAGAATATCATTTAAGATTATATATATTCTTTAAATATATATATATATATACCTAATGGTGGTTGACATGTAATTAAAACATCAATTCCACGTGGTATATGATTCCATTTGTTCATTATATTATTACGAGAACAATAAAATGCAGCTGTTTTATTAGTTGATACCCTAATAAATATAAAATAATCTTTTTTTTTTTTACTAATAACTAACGTTTTCTATTTTCTAACCATGGTGATCCATAAAATTTAACACCAGCTATTTCAACACCCATATCTTGTAAATAAATAACATTATTTAAATATTGTGAAACATGTTTTAATCCAAGTAATTGTAATTCTTTTTTTATATTATCTCGTTCACATTGTTTACTAATTAAAAATGCAAAATAGAGTTTGTTTGTTTTTTTTTTTTTTTTCAAAATTGAAAATTTAATATACGTTTGTTCATTAGTAAGATTTTCAAAATTAAAACAAATATCTGAACTTCCTGGTAAAAGAATTTTATATTTTATTGGTAAATCATCAAGACATTTTCGAAATTTAACAATATCTATCCATTTTGAATAACGTGAAATATTTCCAGCTATAATAAGTATATCAGCTTGTGGACATGAATCAACTAATTTTGTTGTATTATCAAATATATCTGATGTACAAGCAATACGAAGCTATAAAAAGTACAAAAGAAAATATTTTCTTTTGCATATATATTGTTTTAATGAAAAAAACAACAAATGTATGATTGATTGATTAACAACCTTATTATTACTTATAGCTATTCTATTTGCTGATGGAAAATTTTTTAAATTAGGTAATTTATCAAATTTATGTGTTTTTTTAAGTTGTGATAAGACTTTTAATGGATAATTAGCCATTGGATGTGATGTTAATTGTATAGGTTTTGCCATTTAAAAAAATAAATAAATAGATGATTTCGTTTTCGATAATAAAAAATGCGACAAAATTCATTTTGCGCAAAAAATTATTTATTTCTTTTCATATGAAATAAAGACCTAGATTTATATTTTAAGAATACTAGTTCACGAAGTAGGAGGTGTTCTTTATCAATATGACTTTTGAAAAGTATGTTAGACTTTGACCTACATACAACAAGTTCTTAAACATTAAAAAATCTATACTAAAAACAAAAAAAAAAACAAATAAATTATTATAATGATTCAAATAAACCAGATGTTTTTCGTTTTTTTTTTTTACATCTTATTTATATACAAAATGCAATAGAAAGTTATCAGATAGATATTTTAAATTATATTGTAATATCACCTGTTGAATATTTTGATAAAGAACATTGATAAAAACACATATACTAATCATCTATTTAACTATGCATAATCATATGTCAGATGCAACAATTAATTTAATCAATCATTTTAATTGCTACAAATGATTATATATATATATATATTAAAGTATACACAATAGATTAATCACACTATCAATAAAAATATCTTTAGATTTATTTTTGTTAAAAATATTTCTTAAATCATATATTTATCTTTGTTGAAAGAATTCTTTCATCGATTATTACCATCAATATGACTTGATATATATATATATATATATCTACTTCACTTTAATGTTGATCATATATGATATCATTGATGGATTTTATTTTTTTCGTATATTGGTTTATTCAGTATAAAATAATCGACATGCGTTGAATGACGCCTATAGTTTTTTTTTCTTTTTGTCGATTATAGAAGACGTAAATCAAAGAATAGGACGATTATACATCAAGAAAGAACAAAAAAGAAAATGTATCAACTAGATTTCCGTTGATGTATTAATTATATGAAAATAATAATTAATAAAGCTGAAAGTATACATAAAACATACGCCAGTGTCAAACATATTTCTATGGTTTGAATAAAATGTCTGAAAAAAAGAAAGAGTATACGATTGAATTAATCTTTAATTGTGATTAGAAAATAAAAATAGGTCGGTCATCGATTTTTATGTAGTTTTTTAATAGTACATTAAAATTTTTTGAATCTATGTCATTCGTTACCATAGGACATACTATTTGCTCACAATGTTTTTTTTTTGCGTCGTTTTTTTTGTCTCTTTCGTTTTATAAGTGTATAGTTATTCAATTTTTTTTCCTTCTTCTTCCGTTCTCTCTTGTTTTTTCAATTATTCTTACCACGCAAAGGAAAAATTTCCCTTAAGATACTAGATTTCTTTCTTGAGACATACTTTAAAAAAAAAACCCGTACAAATCAAACAACAATTATTCATAATATCAAAAAAGTAAAAAATATTTTCTTTTTTTTTTTTCATAGAATTTATTACCATCAATGTACATAGAAACACACACACACACTGTTTTTTAATTCAAAAAAACATCGCGCACCTTTCACTAAGCAACAAAATCAAACATAGAAACATTTGTACAAGAACAAAACAGGGACAAAAAAAAAAAAAAGAAACACTAGTATTGCAGTCAATAGTACAAGTTGTACTTCTGTACATACCACATTAAAGTGAAACAAGACGGAAAATATCTCACAAAACAAACAAAAAAAAAACTGTTACGTTGTATTCAGTACATTTAAAAAAATAAAGATATTGTCTGTACAACAACAACAACATAAGAGTTAAATGTTCTTATTTTTAACTGAGATTTTCAATTACAGTAAGATGTACAAAGGTTTGGTTTTTTTTTTAATGATTTGTGCACAAAACGTAAGCACGTCATTTGCATAGAAACAAAAACGAATTATTGAACTGAGAGACCACGGACGGAAGTTGAAGAAGAAGAAGAAGAAGAAGAAAACAACGAAGCAATATTGTTCTATATATTATTATTATGAGAGTTTCCTCGTGATGAAGAATTTGTTGATTTTGATGATAAAGAATTTTGTCCTCGACGTCGTCGAGGTATTAATGATAAACATAAATCTCTTGATGATGGAGATTTAAGCCATTCAGATTTTAAACATTGTTCAAGTGTTGGTCGTTCTGATGAACGTATTGATAAACATTGTTCAATTAATTGTACACATTCTTAAAAAACAAAAAAATGATTAATTGAATTTTATTTTTTTTTCTTAACTTACCAGGTGAAATATGATTGGGAAAATGTAGTTGACATTTAATAATTGATAAATCATCAGCAAATGGTATATCACCACAGACTAAATCATATAAAAGTATTCCTAATGACCAAACAGTTTGTGGTAAACCAAAATATCGTCGACATGTAACCCATTCGGGTGCAGCATAACATGATGTACCTTCAAAATCTGTATAAATACCATCATGTAATAATGCACCTGAACCAAAATCAATTAAATATAATTGTCCAGTATGCATATCAACAAGAAAATTTTCATCTTTTATATCTCGATGAAGAACCTAAAAAACAAAAAAAAATATCTTTCTTTTTTATTTTTCATTATTATTATTTAAATACATACTCCACATTGATGAATATCAATAAGAATTTGTATAATTTGTTTAAAAAAATCTCGTGCTAAACGTTCATCAAGACCATTTGGACGTTCAGATATAAAATCATATAAATCACAACAATGTTCAGGTCGTTCAAGTACAATAACAAGTTGATCATTATGAATAAAATAATCAAGTATATGTATAACATTTTTAACTTTAGCTACACGACGTAATAAAACAACTTCAAGTGGTAATTTTCCATCAGGCTAAAAATAACAAAATTTTATATTTCTATATTTTTTTTCTCAATATATCTTAATTTACTGTATTTATTTCACGTATGCGTCTTTTTGAAATAACTTTTAAAGCAACTGGCATACCATCTTTTTTTCGTACACCAGCATAAACATCACCAAAACCACCTGAGGCTAGTTTGTGTGCGATTAAATATCGAGCACGGAGTGGGTCGACAACAGCTAAAAGCAAAAAAAAAAAAAAAAGAATTTTATTTAAACATACAAAAAATGAAAATGGCTTCTTCCAAATACGTACAAGAATTTGTTTTATTTGTTGATGTCGTAGGATTTTGTTGTCGTGGATGATGATGAATTAAATTAGTTGATTGAGAAGGAGTTAAAACAAGTGTACTCATTATGATAAAATATATTTAGCAAAATACCTATCTAAAAAAAAACATAAAAAAATATAAAAATTAAGCATCTATTTATGTAGATGATTGTTACGAGTGTAGGAGGGATGAGGCTAAATGTATTGTTTGATGAGAAATATTCTTTATCGAAAAAAAAAAAAAAAGAAGAAAAAGAAACAAAAAAAAACCGATATTTCTACCCAACAATAACATAATGCTGCTACTGATTATTGCTTACCAAGCGAAACGACCTATACTATACCGTTCATGAAACAAAAAAAAAAGAACGAGAATATGTCGATGAATGAGTTATGTTGTGTATATGTGTGCAGTCGAGAGAAAAAAAAGAAGAAGAAGAGAAGACGCCAAATGCATCATGTGAGGAAGTCGTGTAGGGCAGGATGCATTGGCATCTAGCCAAGACAAATAGTAGAAAGACACTGGCGAACGAACGCGTACTTTTTTTTTTCTTTCTCTCTCTCTTTCTCATTTTGGCTCGCAATCAAAAGAATGCGAGAGAGAGGGAGAGAGAGAGAGAGAGAAAGAGATCATGATGCTATGTTCTTTTTTTTTTGTTTTGTTTTGCGCGTAAGACGACTTTAATTAAATCGTAAGATGTATTAGTAAACAATTGGTTTAATTAAAACAAAAAAAAAAAAGAAGAAAACGACAATGAATGAGTAAATATCCTCGCCATCTCATTAGACCTCATTCGGCTTATACTACAAAATATACAATCAGATTTAGTTGCTAAAGAAGGAAAAAGAAAGTAAAAAGAATCATATATAGATATGGGCGTGGTGTCGAAGACGGTCGTGCCTCTTTATATACCAATAACAATCGATAGAATAAAATAAAAAAAAGACACATACGTTTAAGTTTAAAACTAGACAGACAAAAGACTGTCTGCTATTGTTAGACATATATTTATATCGAAGAAGAAAATTACAACGGAATATAAAAAAAAAGAAAAATCATGCTTTTAATAGATTTATATATAGAGAGAGAGCGAGAGCGAGAGATTATTATTGTATGAAAGAAAAATTTTCTATAGGAATTTTTAGCATTCTTAATTTATGATAAAAATCCCATGAAAATTTACACGTTATTGCACATATATGCTTCTGTTTCGTTTTTTTTCTAATGCAGACAATCAACAAAAAAAAATGCGACAGAATGAAAAATATTGCGTAAAAAGAGAAAAAAAAAGAGAGAATTTTTAGGAACAACAAAAAAACAACTATGCCTCGCTTCTACTATAATTGTTGTGTCGTATAGAGAAAAAAAAACCTAATTCTTTAGATATACGAATGCCTCTACGAGTCTTATCAGTATTGTTCTTTGTTGTTGTTGTTGTTATTGCTTATGCATTAATCACATAAGAAAAAAAAATTTATATTTATACTGTGTCTGTATTTACTTAAATACAGTCTCGTATTTCACTTTATTTTTAGTTGACGTCAAATTACAAACAAATCAATCGTAATAAAAAAAAATAAGAAAGCCTAGATGTCTGATTTTATATATATTTTTTTTCCCCTTTGTGTATATACGATAGACACTTTCATTTATATACGTACCTTAATAACTGTTTTGTGTCGCGTTGTACACCTTTTTTTAATTGATATCTATTTGTATGAATAATCAAAATGATAGAAGAAAAAGAAAAATTTTGAAAGTAAAAGAGAATGTCATAGCAAGCAAATAACACATCAATTTTGTATCAAGATGACTCGCCAATGAAATCAATATTTCATATTTATTCATCGGTAGTCTCAAATATTGCAGGTATACAGTGTATGTGCATACACATTTGATGTATCTTATATATATATTGATTTTTTTTCTTGTTCCTTTTTTTTTTCTCTTTTTCCTCTGATGTTGTGAAACTATGAGTCAAGTTATGCAGACAGATGCATTTTAATATAAATACATATAAATCTTTAGAAGTGATTCTTATTTTAAATCTGCTAACTTTTCAACACAGTATCTAGAAATATTATTGAGAATATTATGTTCTATTGATACACAATAGGGCAAGAAGAGACAAGGTTCTTAATATATATATATATATATATATATATCTAGGCTTCATTCGTAATGCGTTTATTCTTTATAAAATAATATACGGATAACCTTGAAACATGAATGAGGACAATAACAGAGATATACAATTACGCCGTACTTTTTTTTTTTTTTTTATAAAGAAAGATATAATGATAAGATCAATAAAGTCTAAAAAGAAGTATTACCATCATACATTCGTTTTGTTCATCATTTATCATTCTAATCATGTTCACTTACAAAACCTATCTGGGTACATAAACTTTATATCCTTATCTGGATTGGTCGAATAAAGATCAGGACGACACTAACAATAGCATTCTTATGACAATTACAAATGCATATATATATATATGTATCCGAAGCTATAACTATTAAGATGGCAGCACTATTTTCAACATTTTTCTCTTCGAACGACATTATTCCCACGCTCACACAACATGATTAACACCTATATGTTGCTCATAATAAATAACAAGAATTGGATTGTCTAAATTTAAACTTGTAGACAAATGTATTCATTCATATTTAATCGGAAGAATTTTGAACATGAAAAAAAAAATGTGCGAACGATCTATTAATAATAATAAACATATTCGATTAAAAGATTATTTCATAGATAAGCAGCTTATATACATATATACCTTTCAAGATAAAACAGATGATTGACACAATAGATAGATACATATGAAAAAAAAAAAAAAAAGAAATCGTTGTCTAACATTGAGTTTAGTTATGAAATCAATAATAATATTGATTAATATTATTTGACAGATAGAATAGATATCTGATAATGATTTATTAATCATACAAAAAACAAAAAAAAAATGATTTTCTATCATGTAAATAAAAACTGGACGATTAAGTTGTAAAACAAAAAAAAAAAAGAAATGTATTCATATTGATCTTGAAATGAAAACATCATGTCTACATTCTATCTTTTTCTTTTCTTTTTTTGTCTTTTGCTTGCAAACATAACTTTAATAAAAGAGATGATGTTATTTAAAGGTTAGTGGTACTTTTCATTCATTTTATTATAAGAAATTAATCTATCCAACACAAGAATATTTACCGGTGGAGAGTAAAAAAAAAAAAAAAGGAAATACTCTTATTATGAAATAGTTATTCTCCGGAATATTCAAACTAATTATGTAAAATTTATTTCTAACATGCAAATCATAAGTATAGCATATAAAATAACTGTTTAGAAGGTTTTTTCCTTTATAAACTAACAAAAAAAAACAACAACAACAACAAGAACATTTATGTTTTGTTTTTATGAAATATATTCCAATATTTGTGCAATGACATCATGAATTTTTATTGGTCTTATGTGTCATCATAGAAAGTGTAAATCAAATATTTACACCAATGTAATCATAATTGTCATTATAAGATTCGATTGTGAAATAAATTTTGTTAGTACAATGAAGTACTTCAATATTGTAGTGAATAATATACATTTTAACGTAAGTTATTTCTTATCTATCATTGAAAACATATAAATTAGATCATTATTTCTTTTTCTTTCATTCGAATCATTTCTAATAAAATTCTCATCAAATTTTTTGTTAATTATTCTTCAATCTTAAATACATATAGAAAATTTTCGTTATATTTTAAACAGGTGTCAAATAACAACAAGAGTAATTTAAAACTATTCTAAAGAATAATTTCACCATAATTATCCTTTCTAAAGTAAATAATCATAAACACATACGTAGGCAATGCGTTAATTAACATATTATAACAATATTGAACTAAAATAATATTCTTAACATACATTAACACCTACGTAAAATTTTGATTCATTTACAGATTGAATAGTATCGATAGAATTTCATTGAAACTATGTAGTTTGAAAATATATTCATAATCCATAGACAGAAATTAATCAATCAATTTTCGCTTGATAGAACAGTGAAAATAAAATACTCAACAAGGTAATGTGAATTTTGAAGTATTTATTCTTATTTGAAAAAAGTAGAAGAAATTATTCCACGATAGTATTTTGATTTTATTCAAAGGAAAATAATAAAAAAAAAAGCAGACAACTGGAAAATATTTCGTATTAAATATTCATGTAAATACAATTGAAACATTGTTGTATACTTGAGATTTATTAATAAATTGAAAATATTCCTACAAAAATTAATAATCAATAGAACATGAAATTTTTCTAGTAATACATAATGAGAATTATGGAATTTTTTTAAATATTTATATATATATATTTCTATTAGAATAATTATGCCATAATATTCTTGAAACTAAAATTAAAATGTAAAATCGATTCATTTCTAATCATTCGATATTAAATTCAAAATTTAATTATTTTTATTTCGTTCATATTCTTAGCACCTAGACATTGAATAATAACAATATAATATTTAGAATTTCTCAGTTTTAATATAATTTTCTATAAATATGAATTTCTCACCTTTTTTTTTTAAATTTAGTACGGTCATCATCAACTTTAAACATAACACTTATGGGTGTAAATGTCATTATTGTTATTATTAAAGTTTCTTTCTTTTTAAAAATTATTATTACTATTAAAGACTTATATACTTGAATATGTTTATTTTGTATATCTTGATTTGATTTCTAATTGTTATTGTTTGTTTTGAAATAATATATAGGAAATTAATCTTACAAATGATATCTTTCAAAGTTGAAAATTTTTGTTTATAGAAAATTATATAAAACTCGCATGTCTATGTCAATCAATAGCTTTTGACTTGTGAATGATCTATTCATATACTCATTTTCATTTTTTTTCCCTAAAATTCTATATTGTGATCGATTTTTCAAACTAAAAATAGAATTTTCTTTGTTTCTTAAATAATTGAAATTTAATTATTAATTCATGTTCAATATATCAAGATGAATTGTTATTTATATTTTATCTTATCAATAATTATAAATGATTGTCTTTA